AAGCTGATTTAGTTGAAAATGTATGGGCAAAATTCGGTAATCAAAATTAATAATGGTTGTATGTTTTCAATTTCTCTATGTATTCAATAAAATGTTGTAAACATTATTGTATTCTCAATCTATTCAATAAAACCTTATAAAATTATTTTATAACCATGTTTTAAAATATTCTCTTTGTATTAAATTTTTTTTTTTTTTTAAAAAAAAATAATATTTTATTCCTAAGAACCCGCAATTCGGGTTCACTAATGGAGGCGCATAATTGAGACGGGTTTGTCACTGTTCACGACCCCACCAAAAAATTAATAAAAAATCTCTATGAACCCCATAAGGGGGTTCACTAATAGAGATGCTCTAAGTTAGAGCATCTCCATTAAACTCTATAGATATCTAAACATCAAAAGAAAAATAGAAAAAATTAACAGTGTTAAGGAATAATAATTTCAAAATAGAAACTTGTAGATTTTCATTAGATATCCTCAGCCATGTGTTAATCTTTAAGTGGTTTGATTTTTTTTCATAAATATTAAAATCCAAATAATAACCAAAAATTTAATATATTAACATTTTTAATATATTAAAATTAATAAGTTAAGATACTTACTTTACATATACTTTGCTATAACAATTGTTACAAGATATTGTTTCTTTTTAAGGTTTTGACCAGTAACAATTTAAACCTCGGATGGTAAACAAAGCAAGTCATCATTTCAGTTCAATCTATCCCTTTATTATTAAAATGGAAGCAATTTAAAAAAGTAACCTTAAAAGTGTAATATATTTACACAATTGTCATTATGCTGATGTGTCAGCATGATAACTCTTCTCAGCATCCTTTTAAATTTGCCCACTTATGACTAGAATATTTACAAATTTGTGCCATTGACATACCACATTTGTATATATCTCATTATTAAAATAAACCTTCGTATGAGCATTTGAAATTCTCTGTGTTCGATTCCACAGCTGATTTAAAATTAAGGTGTTAAAAAAAAAATCTACCATATTCTTATGAAATGTTCTCGTAACAAATATCTTATATATTGCATTTGTTTGTTATACAAAAAATAGTCATCACATTTGTTTATTCTAATGTTATTATTTTAAAATTTTAAATTAAAAATTTAATATTTATATTTATATTATTTTATATTGGCATATGATATATCATCTATTTGTTGTCGTACGTACCTATATCTAAGATTTTTTATTATGTTGTTTTTCGTCCCCGTTTCCGGTTCCCGTATCCATACCAGTGATGCTTACTATAAATCTTCATCTTTCTGTTACATAGTTTGGGATTGTGATCTGAATCAAGATGATGAGGTTGAGTAGTAGATTTAGATCGTTAAAATAAAGCCAAGGTCTTTGTAGATGTCTCAACAGTTATGTCTTTAGATCTCTATGAAATCCCGGGGCTGTTATTAATCCAGCAAGTTTATATTCTTCTTTTATCTTCAGATGTAATAGATAAAAAGGAGTAATCAGAATATGTGAGTAAGGCTTAATTAATTTTGCAAACGGCAGAGCTACCACAATTCTTACAATGTAGATCTAATTTTTTTTACAATGTATGTTTAATTTTTTTCTATATGTTTTGTTTTCGAACTAAAAGGCCGTCAAGAGGTTACTTTTTATTCCAAAAAGTATCAATGGACCTTTAAATTTATTTAGACAAAATCATAAATGAGAGTATGAGCTTTTCATATTAATTGGTAACCAAAGTTATTATATTTTGGCCAATTGGTAACCCAATTTATAAACTGTTATTAAAAATAAAAAGGTATATTGTCGATGGTAAATGGTTTTGTACAATCTCGGTCGCCAACATTTTTTTCTAGTGAAGTGTAATTTATATAATTTTTGTTTATTTTTTTAATTTGTATAAGATCAATACGATACAAATAATATAATAATTTATATGATAGTATAACATAATACTAATCTCTTCCCGCACAGAGTGCGGGTCTTAACCTAGTTGCTCTCTATTTTGCTAAGTCAAGGTGCTTTGTTTGTCTTCTTGGAATGAATATATCAAAAGAGAATTCACTTGGTTAATAATGTCTAGAATACTTTTGTTAGACCATGTGCAATGGGGAGTCCTTAGGGGGAGTCCTTAGAAAAATATTAATTTTATAATCACTGGGTCCCATGAATAGTTAAGGATTTTATCCTAAAAATCCTTATGTAAGGATTGATCCTTACACTATTCATGGGCTCCACTGCACACGTGGCGGTCCGTGAGTGGTCAGTTTATTTTTTTTTAAAGAAAAAATCTGAAATATCCTTATATAATCTGAAATACCCTTTTTATTTTTTTTCCTAAGGACTCCCCTAAGGATTCCCCATTGCACATGCTCTTACGACGAACTGATTAGTCTTCGTTACGTAGATCCTTTTTCCCCTGTTCGGTTCAGTATAAATTAAATATTACTCCGGTTCGAACCGAAGAAAATCTTCCGTTTCCGTTTCCGGTTTGATTTGATATTTAACTAAAACACTTCTCGAGCTCAAATCTCGGCCCAAGCCCATCTTCCTATAAACTAAACTCGGGTCGGGTCGTTAAAACCGCCTTTTATCTTCTACCTCAACGAACTTCTCCTCCGCCAAAGCTTAAGCCCTAAAACATCCCGCCGTACTATCATCACTCCATCTTCCGCGCGAAGAAGATGACGAAGGTCTATGGAACAGGCACCTACGACTTCAAGCGCCACAGAGTCGCCGAGTATCCACTCGAGCCACCTACCAATCCACTCGAGTCGAAGCCTGGATCCAATCTACCGAGCTCCATCACTCTTTCGGAGATTCAGCAGGACAGGTTAACGAAGATCGCCGAGGAGAGCTGGATCAAAACCGGAGGGAAGTTGCCTGAGAAACCGTTCGATCCGGAAGTGGTTAAGGAGATTTACGCGGCGGAGCTGAAGGTGGTTAGTGGGAGGAAACCGGTTCCGTTGCAGAGAGTGATGGTTCTGGAAGTGAGTCAGTACTTGGAGAATTATCTGTGGCCTAATTTTGACCCTGAGACGGCGACGTTTGAGCATGTTATGTCTATGATTCTTATGATTAATGAGAAGGTAAGGTTTTCGATCTCTCGTTGCGTATTTGAATGTTTGTTACTGATTTAGTGAACGATGGAATTTGAATTGGATTTGTATATGCTTTGTAGTTTAGGGAGAATGTGGCGGCTTGGATTTGCTTTCATGATAGAGAAGATCTGTTCAAGAAGTTTCTTCAGAAGGTTCTTCGACTAAAAGAGGTGTGTGGTGTTCTTTTTTTCAGATGATTTGGATTTTACTTGTGTTTTTAATGGATTTACATATCACTGGTTTTGACGTTGCTATAGATTTGGGAGCATAGTGATAAATCATAATCACTATATATTGATGTTGTCTTTGGGTTACCATTGTAGGGAAGAGACTTGACTATTGCTGAGAAGACTAATTATCTGGTCTTCATGATCAATGCTTTCCAGGTTTGTTCTGTTTTTAGATATGATTTTGTTATATCAGTAGCAAATATTTATTTTGTTGGTGCTGCACATGGCTCAAGAGCTTAAATACATTAGTAAGCAGTGATCGCTGACCAGAAAACTGTGTGCTACTTCGTATAACCTTTTGTTTCACGTTTCTGCGAAGATCGTATCTTTTTGCTATTTTTTTGGTTTTCTTATATATCCTTATCTGCGTGATGTTACAGAGTTTGGAAGACGCGGTGGTTAATGAGACTGTTCTAAGTCTAGCAGGATTACAATCTTGGCATAGTTTGTCTTATGGACGTTTCCAGGTAGGGCTTTGCCTTCCTTCAAATAAATTATGTTAATATGTTTTTGTTAGTGGCTCTGATGCTATCATTGATTTTCACAACTGTAGATGGAGCTCTGCCTTCAACCTGATTTAATAAAAAAGTGGAAGAGGTTATCAAAGAAGTGGGCAGCTGAGGCAACGTCAAAGGGAGAGCAGTTTGATCCATCCTCATCACCTGAAGCAAATTTTGTTCGAAGCCTAATTGAAGAATTTGTCGAGGTACTATGCCTGTTATTGTTAGGCTCAAGTGGTCTATGTTCATCAATTATTTTCGAGTAGCTATGCAAGGTTCATACTTCATATATTTTATTCTAGGTTCTTGATCACGGAGTTTTTGCGGATGAGGGTGATGAGAATGCTGGATTTCAATTGGTCGATGATTCTTCTGTCTTATATTGCGAGAGATTCATGGAATTTCTCATTGATATGCTGAACCAACTTCCAACAAGAAGGTATTAATATTTGCAAGTTATTTGTAGTAAGGTCAAAATCTTTATTCTGCGTTCTAGCTGTTTTTTTCTGGTCCTGATAATATCTTCTTTATTAATCTTCACGCCCTGTGTCTATATCTCTGTACCATTCATTTACTCGACCTTATTTTTCTTTCTCCATCTCTTCATCTTTGATTATTACAGATACTTAAGACCTCTTGTGGCGGATATAGCAGTTGTTGCCAAATGTCGACTTAGTGTCCTATACAAACATGAAAAGGGGAAGCTTTTCGCACAATTGGTTGACTTGTTACAGTTCTACGAAAAGTTTGAGATTAAGGATCATGATGGAACACAATTAACTGATGATGAAGCACTTCAGTTTCATTACGATCGTTTTATGGCGTTTCAGCTTCTTGCCTTTAAGAAAATACCCAAGGTATTTACTGGTAACCATGGTTTTCTAGTAGATAGTTAGTTTTGCGTGCCACGGTTTTATTTTCTTACTGATCGAATTTGAAGCCTTCGATCTGCATTCTTCCTTGTTCCGTAATATCTCTAAATTCTCACTTTTTTTTGTTATCTTGGTTGCTTTAGTTGCGAGATGTGGCTTTGGCTAATATTGGTTCGGTTCACAAGAGTTCTGATCTTCGGAGGAGACTGTCTGCGCTTTCTCTTGAAGATTTAAGGGATGTTGTCTGCTCAAAGGTATATATCTGGAAGGGTCACATCTTCATGGAATCTTGTTGCTGCTGATTTTCGTTTTTTTAAAAATTAATATACTTTTGTTCCTTATAGCTTCAGTTACGACAAAAATAAACCTTGCCACCTTCATTAAATCTCATTTTCATGTGCTTTTGTACAGCTTAAACTGGTTTCGAAACATGATCCTTGGGCAGATAGTAAGGATTTTCTGACTGAGGTGGTCGTCTCCTCCTTTGAGAAGCAACAGTCTCAGAAAGAAGCCATAAACGCTCTGCCTTTGTACCCAAATGAGCAAATCATGTGGGACGAAAGTGTTATTCCAAGCATTAACTATTCTGGGGAAGGTTGCCTTGCTCTCCCAAAGCTTAATCTTCAGTTTCTAACACTACACGATTACCTCCTTAGAAACTTCAATCTCTTCCGTCTAGAATCTACCTATGAGATTCGTGAAGATATACAGGAAGCTGTACCACATCTTCTTGCACACATTGATAACGAGGGAGAAACTGCTTTTCGTGGTTGGTCACGAATGGCTGTTCCAATTAATGGATTCAAAATCGCTCAGGTGAAGCAGCCTAATATTGGAGAAGAGAAGCCATCATCTGTGACTGCAGAAGTTACCTTCAGTATTAAGAGTTACAGAACACAGATAAGATCTGAATGGAATTCCCTTAAAGAGCATGATGTGCTGTTTTTGCTTTGTGTACGCCCTTCATTTGAGCCATTAGGTGCGGAGGAAGCTGCTAAAGCTACAGTGCCACAGAGGCTTGGGCTTCAGTATGTTCGTGGTTGTGAAGTCATTGATATCCGTGACGAGGAAGGAAATTTGATGAATGATTTTACTGGAAAAGTTAAACGGGATGAATGGAAGCCCCCAAAAGGTGAATTGAGGACTGTGACTGTCGCTTTAGATGCTGCGCAGTATCACATAGATGTTACAGACATTGCTGAAAAAGGTGCCGAGGATGTGTATGGCACATTTAATGTGCTAATGAGGAGAAAGCCAAAAGAGAACAACTTCAAGGCTATTCTGGAATCTATCAGAGACCTCATGAATGAATATTGTATTGTTCCGGATTGGTTGCATAACGTATTTCTTGGGTATGGAAACCCTTCTGCTGCACAGTGGCCTAATATGCCAAACCTATTGAAAACCGTGGACTTCAAAGATACTTTCCTTGATGCAAATCATCTCAGTGAAAGTTTTCCAGATTATGAGGTTAGAAATTATTTTCATTGGTATATGGTTTTATGTTAAACTCCTTACTTTTTTTCCATTTCTCACATAACTCTTGCATGTTAGGTATCTTTCGTCAGTTCTGATGGTGATCAAGTTCTGGATCCAAGGCCTCCCTTTAAAATCACTCTTCCAAAGACACTAAAAGGGAATGCTAATGCTCTTTCTGGAAATAAGATATCTGAAATAAATCCAGCAGACAATGCTGATATGGTGGATGTATCCCCAAAGGAGAAACTTATTGTTGAAGCATATACCCCACCTGACCCAGGGCCTTATCCCCAAGACCAGCCGAAGCAGAACTCAGTTAAATTTACACCTACGCAGGTACTATTAATCTCTACATCCTCAGAGCAGTATACTCATTGTATTAAGACCATTCGGTTATTATTCTGTGCTGCTAGGATCATAAGCTTTTGCTATTCGTGAAACTTCTTTGAATAATGAGAAATTGATCATCTTAGAATTCATATATTTCCTTATAGAAGAAGTCATACGAGAATGCTACGCGTCATCTTTATGCCACCTCATTGTGTCTAGTAAAAGCATTTGGTTTTGGTTCGTCTCTTTGAACGATATTGTTGTCATGCTATTCGTTTTTGTTCGGAGAAACTTTTACCTGATGTTCAAAAACATTTTTACCCCTCGGCGATGGGATTTTTTCCTCATGCTATTCAACATATGGTTTGGATTCAAGGTGTATGATTTTTAGTTGCAACTTGTGATTAAACCATGCCTACTATTTTCCTGCAGGTGGGAGCAATTATCTCTGGTATTCAGCCTGGGCTAACTATGGTGGTTGGTCCACCCGGTACCGGAAAGACTGATACAGCAGTGCAAATCTTAAATGTGCTATATCACAACTGTCCTTCGCAAAGGACCTTAATTATCACTCATTCAAATCAGGCTTTGAATGATCTCTTTGAGAAGATAATGGAGGTACTAGGCATCTCTCTTCGTTTTTAATTTTATTTTATAGAGTAATATCTTATGGTTTAAAACTTTAACGGGTTCTGACATACAAATGCATGGTTTGTTTTTTCAGAGGGATGTGCCAGCGCGGTATCTACTTCGTTTGGGTCAAGGTGAACAAGAGCTTGCCACTGATCTTGACTTTAGCAGACAAGGACGTGTCAATGCCATGCTTGTTCGACGTTTAGAACTGCTCAGCGAGGTTGAGAGACTAGCAAGATCTCTTCAAATTCCAGAGGATGTAGGTTATACTTGCGAAACAGCTGGGTATTTCTGGTTGCTTCATGTATACTCGCGTTGGGAGCTATTTCTTGCTGCTTGTGCTGGAAATGAAAACAATCCATCTTTTGTTCAAGATCGCTTCCCGTTCAAAGAATTCTTCTCAGACACGCCTAAGCCTGTTTTTAGTGGGGAGTCATTTGAGAAAGACATGAGAGCAGCTCAAGGTTGTTTCTCTCATCTCAAAACTGTGTTCCAAGAGCTAGAAGAGTGTAGGGCCTTTGAACTGCTCAAATCAACTGCTGATAGAGCAAACTACCTGATGACCAAACAAGCAAAGATTGTAGCAATGACGTGTACTCATGCAGCATTGAAGAGGAGAGATTTTCTTAAGTTGGGGTTCAAGTATGATAACTTACTGATGGAAGAAAGTGCTCAGATTTTGGAAATTGAGACTTTCATACCAATGTTGCTTCAGAAGCAAGAAGATGGTCACGCACGACTCAAGCGCTGTATATTGATTGGTGATCACCACCAGCTGCCTCCAGTGGTGAAGAATATGGCTTTCCAGAAATACAGTCACATGGATCAGAGTCTGTTTACCAGGTTTGTGCGTCTTGGTATTCCTTATATTGAGCTTAACGCTCAAGGAAGAGCCAGGCCAAGCTTAGCCAAACTTTACAACTGGAGATACAGAGACTTGGGAGACCTTTCCATTGTTAAGGAAGCACCCATATTTCATAGAGCAAATGCTGGATTCTCTTATGACTATCAGTTGATTAATGTGCCTGATTACGAAGGGAGAGGAGAGTCAACACCATCTCCATGGTTTTATCAAAATCAGGGAGAAGCTGAATATATCGTCAGTGTCTATATATACATGAGATTGCTAGGATATCCTGCTAACAAGATATCGATATTGACGACATATAATGGTCAGAAGCTCTTAATCCGTGATGTTATCAACCGTCGATGTGTTCCCTATTCTTTCATCGGGCCGCCTAGCAAGGTAACATACCCATTCAAGTATATATTAAATGTTCATACGATAGTTATCATGTAAATGACTTGGTCTATTCTGGTGTTCTGATTTCCTCGGTTTTGTTATTTTCTCAGGTGACTACAGTGGACAAGTTCCAAGGACAACAGAATGATTTTATCTTGCTGTCTCTTGTCCGAACACGCTTTGTTGGACATTTACGTGATGTGAGAAGGTTGGTAGTTGCAATGTCACGTGCTAGGCTCGGTCTGTATGTGTTCTGCCGCCGCGCCCTCTTTGAACAATGCTATGAACTGCAACCAACGTTTCAACTTCTTCTGAAAAGACCTGATCGGCTCGGCCTCAACCTGAGTGAGAACACAGCTTATACAGATCGTGCAGTCGAGGATGTTGGAAATCCTTATCTTGTTCATGATGTTGAAGAGATGGCACACATAGTTCACGACAGGATGAACGAGTTCTACAAGGTAAAGACACAAAACTAGTTGCTTGGGTAACTAATTTTGTTTGGAAACTGGTTTGTTTAATGTATGTTATTTCTTTTGTGGGGGACAGGCACAAGGCGTGTATGAGCAATACCAGAACAACATGCCACAAATCGAAGACGGTAATCAGGACATGGAGACTGATTCAGCTGTAGGTGAAGATGGTGAATCTGAGAAGAAGATGCAGCCAGAGTTGGATGGCGAAGTTGATGAATCGTCGAAGGAGATGGAGGTGGACAATGGAGTAAGCAGTGAGAATGGAAAGGCTGATGAGAATTAGAAGAGATGAAACTATCCACGCAGAGGGTAATAGAAGAAAAATAAGGTGAGGTTCGAATGGATAGAGAGGGATGAGATCGTTTGTTTGCTAATGTAAGATATCTTCTTAAGCTGTACTGAGTAAATTCTGGTTTAGTGGTAATCAATCAGGCACATGAGGATTTAATCAGAAACTTTGTCTGACAATGAATGGTTTACCCGCCGACTTTTTGTTTGTTACACTTGTATCTGAGTTTTTATTTCGTTGGTTTTCTAAATCAAAATACTCAATTTCTGAGATAAGAGATGTTATTCGTCTGATGCAAACAAGTATGGTGTCCATGAGGTTATATGACTTGTTCAGAAACTTCTGATAGACATCTTCAAATGTTTATGGCCTAATGCTAGTTTAAGGGTTGCGTTATTGCTCACAGCCTTGGGCTAGCTTGTACACCAAGTCCAAAACGGATACCTTGGCTCAGCAGAGGCGATAACTTTGCCAAATACATTAATACAAGTAGATGGATAAACTTGTTCAGCATGATAATCAAACAAAAATTGAACACAAATTCAACATGCAAGATCTTGCGTTTGTCTTTTTAACACAGATCTTGTTTTATGTCTTTCAATAAAAACCCAAGGGAGCAAGTCTACAAACATTACAACAATCCACACAAATAGATCTTTCCTACTTCATTCGTTCACTCTTTGAAGTCATCCTTGTCATCTTCTGGAATCGGTTGGTTTCTCCAGAACACGGCTAAGCCACTCCCTCCCAGCTACAAAATACAAGCCAACACAGTTACATCAATGCCACACTCAGTTGAACATAAACTACACATTGGTTCAAAAAACGATGCCTATGATAATAAACTTACAGCCATGCAGACAACACTGACTGCAGAAGGAACAGCCACAAGAGGGTTTGTGAAATGCTTCTGTGCAAGCAAGAACCCAAGCGCTGAACTCTGCAGTTTCCAAAACACAAATAGAGTTTCTTAATAAAGAGTTTGTAACAAAACAAACTGCAATATAAATTTGGTGTAAGAAAAAGTAACTTACTTGCATTCCACACTCTATAGAAATGGTACGGGAAGTAGACTCGCCGAAAGACAACTTTGAAATCCAATAGCCAATAGCAAAGGCTGCAGCATGAAGGAGTGCCACAGGGAGTATAAGTTGAGCTCCTTGTGTTTTCAAAACCTCTGATACTTGTCCAATCTTTTCACAAGAGCAAAAAAAAAAGAGTCAATACTACTTTCACTCCTAAACATTCAATAAAGAGATGTTTCTGGTTATATGAATTTACTTACAGGGCTAGCACAGAGAAGAGTTGTGAGAATGACTCCGATTAGCGGTGTCACTGATATAATCTTCGACGTGAATTTAGGAAAAAACTCATTGGCCAAAACTGTCACACAGTGCATATAAAGACTTTCTAAGTCCCTTAAAGAGCATAGGAAAATTCATTGTTCTTGAAACACTGAGCACAATACTTACCTCCAACTATAGTAGGCACCAACACTACTTGAAAAGTGCTAACAGCAAGTCCCTGATATAAACAAATTGGGTCCATAAGCTAGAGTTACAACAATTCTGAATGAATAATTTCAAAATAGTTGGAAAGAAAACTTACAGCAGCATCAACAGGAACAAGCTGGCCAGCAAGAAGCTTAGTGAGAAGAGGAGTCATTATGATAGCCCCAATAGTTGAACACCTAGAAATTAGAGAACATATTATATATAAGAGAAAAACACCTCCTACCACATTCAAGAATGAAAAAGAAAAAACAAGTGAAAACAAAAGTACATACGTTGTCATGAGTACAGAGAGCGCTACATTCCCCTTGGAAATGTAGGTTGCAACGTTGGAGGCTTGTCCTCCAGGGCAGCATGAGACCAGGATAAGACCAGTTGCAAGAGGTGCCGAAAGCTTAAGAGTCTAAAAGAAAGAAAAAAAAACAGAAAATATTTGTATAAGTTGGCTCCTCAATAGCAAAAGGAATCATTCAAAAAATAAAATAGAAGATGATGTGATAGACACTACTAAAGGGAAACATACCATTGCAATGAGAAAACCTAGCAGTGGCTTGATCATATACTGAGCAAGAAAACCAACACCAACCTGCAAGAGAACTCCAAAATGTTAACTAATGTAAGAGTAAATAATCAATACACCAGTGGTTCATTGGCTCTTACCGTCCAAGGATTACGTAAACATCTTCTAAAGTCTTCAAAGGTAAGAGTTAATCCCATGGAGAGCATGAGAAACCCAAGACCTAGAGTGAATAGGTCTGTTTCCAACCATGTAACCTACACAAAAATATACTTAAATCTATTAGCGCAAGGAGAAAACACAGATTGGTATAGATTAAACAAAAAGAAGAAGCATACCAAAGATGGCTTGAAGATGCCAACAAGTGTTCCCAAAATAACCTGCACACCAAAACAAACAAAAAGCTCATCACATTCATCATTTTGAGATATCAGATGCATGCATATAGAGTTCATCAAAGTAGAGTAGATAAGGTACCCAAAGTGGGAAAAGAGTGGTCAAAAGCTCAATAGTCTTCTCGTACTGGCTAAGTTCCTTAGGAGAGCCTTCACCTGACAAATCTGCAGCAGCATTGCAAGCAACTCTGCTGCTCCTGTAAAATCACAATGAAACATCTTAGGAACTAACTCTACACTCAACAAACATCAATGCATGAACTCATATCTAGTCCCTAAAAGTTACCTGGAGGAAGCTGATTCAAGAGCAAAGACAGTGCTTAAAGGTTTACTGTTCTGAACCCTCAAACTTAGTCCAGTCTTACTAACTGGAAACAACTTGATACAATCTAAAAACATACAGGAAAATGATTCAGCAAACAAACAAAACAGAGAAAGGATCTCTGATATTATATACATACCTAAAGATTGAGTTTGAGATCTCTTTGTAGTAAGAGAAGGAAGCCATGAAGTGCAATGGCTCCTTACTCTGGCATCAGTTGGCAAAACTCTAGAAATAGAGGCAGCCATGGAAGAAGGGTTTTAGGATCACAGAGAAAGAGACTTTAAAAAAAAAAGAGAGAAGATGACTCCAAAAACACAGGAGGAAAAAAAAGGTTTTTGTGGAGGTGAGGAGGCCTCTTGTTATGTGATTTGGTGGGAGATGAGAAGAGCCACTCATTTTTTTAGGAAATCTCCAGAACCCTATCTGCAAAATATCTCATGACAATTATGTAACGGATCAGTTTATTTTAGGCATGCAAATCGTTTTTTTTTCTTAATGTTAAAAAAAAAAAAGAAACTCTTTTAGAAATAAATAGAAAGTTGGAGGGTTTTCCTGCAATTTTAGACACTTGGTTTTCAGGCCCAAGTAAATACGAATCTGAGCCCAATAAGACAGAACAGCTTTCTCACTACTGTTTTGTTTGGTCGGAGAAGAGAATCAATTCGATCAATAAAGCAGAAGAGACAGAGAGAAAGAAGAAGAAGAAGAAAGTCTTTTTTTATTTCTCCGAAGTCAGTGAGAGAGAAGAAGAAGAAAAGTTTGAGGTCTGATGAGTTCAGGAGGAGGAGGAATCGTGGCTGCACCAACAGCAGCAGCATCAGCTCCTTCAAGCGGCGGTGGAAACGTGGAGTGGCACGTGCGACCACCCAACCCTAAAAACCCAGTCGTTTTTTTCGACGTCTCTATTGGTGGTATCCCTGCAGGTCGTATGAAGATGGAGCTTTTCGCCGACATTGCTCCCAAAACAGCTGAAAACTTCAGGTCCTCCCTCTTCTCCTTCTCTCTCTCTTTACTTCTTCTCTATATCCTTTGATTATGATTCTTAAGTAAAGTCTTCTCTTTTTCAACTTTTCAGGCAGTTCTGTACTGGTGAACTCAGGTATGTTGCATCGCCTCAATAGATTTATGAGAGGTTTTAGAGATTTTTTTGGATTTAGAAAGATGAGCATATAGTTGTGCACTTGTTGCTTAAGCTTCAGCTAGAGTTTGTGTTGTTTATGCTAATTTTAATTGAGAGAGATGAGTGGACAGCTCTTAGTACTTATTCTCATTTTGGTTTAATCGGCTTTGTTGGTGTGAATTGCAGAAAGGCTGGGAAGCCTCTTGGTTACAAAGAATGTCAGTTTCACAGAGTCATCAAGGACTTCATGATTCAGAGTGGTGATTTTCTTAAGGTCAGTAATTACTCTTTTTTGCATTTAATTATAGCCTCAAAGTTCTTAAGGTTCGTTGCTAGAATCTTTTGGTTTCTTCTCTTCTTACTAAATGCTCGAACTGTGCAGAATGATGGGAGTGGATGCATGTCGATTTACGGCCACAAGTTCGATGATGAAAACTTTACTGCCAAACATACTGGACCAGGGTTGCTCTCCATGGTATGCTTATTACTAACTTTTCTGAATTTGTCTAAACTTTTAGTGCAGTGAATATGTTGAGTCAGTTCCCTTTAACTTGTTTTTTTATTCATGAGTCAAACTCTGTCTTTGATATAGTGCGCTTATGACTTTGATCACTAATATTAGTGTTCTCTTTCTTTTCTTGTAGGCAAATAGTGGGCCAGACACAAATGGGTGCCAGGTAATTTCAGTCTCATTTGTAATGGCACTTTACTTACAATGCAAAGCAGTGAGCATTCGATGCCTTCTCCGGTTTGGCTATGATGCTACTGATATTATAAATTTTAAAAGCTTTAAAAAGGAAGTAGGATGTGTTAGTACTAGCTGGTTGGGCATACAATGTTCTCATTTGGTCTATAATTACACCTTTGCTCTTTTGCAATTGCAGTTCTTCATCAGCTGTGCAAAATGCGACTGGCTTGACAACAAGCACGTTGTCTTTGGGGTATGTATGTCCTCTTTTCACATCCACCTATTGCATGATTATTAGACCAAGAAGCTTAGTTCTCCCTTTTCTGGTTATAACTGAGATTGTCTCAATAGGAAAACCGTCAAAACCATAATAAATAGTTGATGCAGAAGCATTGAGTCATGAACCCTTGTGCACATACCGTAACACAGTGTTGTTATGACTCATTGCAAATTCTTATTTTTGATTATACAGAGAGTGCTTGGAGATGGTCTATTGGTGGTGCGGAAGATTGAGAACGTGGCTGTTGGACCAAACAACCGGCCCAAGCTTGCTGTTGTTATTACAGAGTGTGGTGAGATGTGAAATGCTTTATTAGCCATGAGAAAGCATCGTCTTCTGAAGGAGGAATGTAGTGAGAGGCGAAAGCTTATTTATAGTTGTAAACCTTACGCATGTGTGTGAGAAGCTAAACGTTTGTCATTTTGTTTTTCACTTTGGTTGTCATCATAAACGTCTAAATTTTTATCTTCATCCAAATTTATTTTAAAAAGCTCTCCCACCTGAACCGGAATATGTAAACCGAACACGGATAGATTAACTTCCATCCGCGCGCCTTTTTTGTTCGTTAGTCGTTACGTTACAATTACATTGACCCTTCACTCTCTCTATATATATTCAAACCTCACACAGCACTTGTTTTCGTCACCAAAGAAACTATCGAGAAGGAAAAAGCAAAAAAGAAAATGATGATGATGATGCAAGAAGACTTTCAAGACCGTAAGAATCTAAGCATCAACGACATTGATCTCTCACTCCTCCGCCTCTCCTCCCCACCTTACGTCTCCCCCGTTTCTCCTCCTGATATCAGCCCCTTGAAACGCTCCTCCCCTGTTTCCGACGGATCCGATCAGCCTAAACGCAGAAGACTCTCCCCCTCTCAAGACCACCCAATCTTTATCTCCTCTCCTCTTCACTCCACCTGTCCAGAACCGACTACTCTGTACTCGAATCTCACTGCCAGCTACGCAAGCCCTGTTTTGGAAAAGCAAGAAACGTCGCCGTATGCTTCCAAGAATCTTGATACAGAGGTTGGTTGCTATATAA